GCTGTAAACGAGCCGAGCTAAGTCAAACTTTGGTCTAATCGATCCGAGTCTCAACTTAGTTATATCGAACTCGAACGGAGCTCGAGTTAGAGCTCAATGAGCTGACAATTTTGAAACTTGAGCTCGAGCTCGATTCGAACTGGAGCTCAAAAAAATAAAAATAATTATTTTTTTTAAAAAAATAAAATAAATAAAATTTTTTTCTTAATAAATAATAAAATATTAAAGATATATATGTAATTTTACTATTAAAATAAATCTTAGTGGGGGCAAAAATAACACTAAAATTTTTTATCTACTCTTTTTCTAATTTTTTAAGCAAAAAAAAAAAAGTCTCATGCATAAAATCACCATTTCACAAGTTAAAATATTTATCAAATAACCCATTTATTAGTTATTACATTAACTAATCAATTTTCAAATTTCTTTAAAACAGTAATAGTCTCATGCTCTAGAAATATATTTGCAAACAAATTTAAAATAATAATAATAATAAGTAATTGTTTAGAATCTGATTTTGATGGTCTCCTAAAGTTGGTGAAAAGAGCTGCAAAATGTGGCGGACCCAAGTCCTAGAAGATCAATTGATTCTGGTGCAATCTCTAAATAGGATGAAGTGATCAAAAGAAAGAGTAACAAGCTTTGGTTGTGAAAAAAAAATGGCTCTCGTATGTATGTTGGGGAGTGGGGACAACCGAGAGTCAATTGAGGAAAGGGAAATTGGGGAGTGGGAACAAAGGAAGTAAATGATAATTGGATGAAGTGATAAAAAGAAAAAGTAGTTGGCTTAGGTGTGGAAGAAGAGGAGCCGGTTGTGAAGGGAAATGGGGGACCACAGGAGTAAAGGGAACTTGGGGAGTAGGGACCAAAAGGAATGACCGATATAATTGGTACTTGGCCCTATTTGTGGGAAAATGGGAACTAGAGGAGGAAAGTGAATGATATAAATTTTGTGACCCATTCTTTCACATATTTTCTAAAAAAAATTCTGGGGGCACCTTTAAAATTATGTCAAAATTGTAGATGTATTATAGGAATTTAAGGGCCCCAGTGCCCCCACTTTAAATCCGCCCATGGCATCAGTTTTACAATTTAGCAACAATGTCATAATACTAAATATGATTTTACTCTTAAAAAATGAAGGTGATAATATATGACGTAATAATGTTAATGTAAAACAACTACATGAAGAGTTTGTCACAGTCAAATCACAAATAAGGCTAGAATTGCTTGACTTTTAGCTCATTGAACACATTAAAGCTTCTAAAGACTAACAAAAGCTACAAATGTAAAAGTAATATTCAACAGATTAAAACATGAAAAAGAAAAGCTTATGAAAACTGATAATAAACCTTGAAATAAACACCTGCATTTAACACTTTCTTTTTGAAACCTTAGAAATCAATTCACCCAAATGTAGTTATTCTCAATGATATGCTATAATTACCAAATGCATATGATTTAGTATGCCCTTGGAGTTTGAACATATATATGGGATACTTTCATAAACCTCCCTTGAGGTTTCTGACAATTGCACCTGGCTCCCCTGAAGTTTAAGAAATTACACTTACCTCCCTTGACATAGTAAAATATCTATAATGCCCTCTACTAAGTAGACAATTTTAAATCTAAGGCAATAAATTTACAAAACTTAAAAAAAATCTATTTTTCTGTCTCTTGTCTATTTTCTAGCTAATATAACCTCTTTTTATTATCTTCAGTTTTGTGGATGTTAATCAATTGAAATTACAAAATTTACAAAGGAGGTAGATTATGTGTCAAACTAGAAGAAAATGAAAAGACTCGCAGCGATAGAGAAATAAATAATGAAATTGATGATTGAAATAAGAATAAGAACCAAATATGTGGAATTTGACATATTTTGTTTATTATTAAGAAAAACTTTTATAAAATGTTAATAATTACATAATGATTTCTTTCACTGGATTAGAAATTTTTTATTATAATTTTATTGTGGAGGTAGAATTTATTCTCAACTTTTGAGATATTAATATTTTTAAAACCATCGGAGAATTGTAATGGTGGTTCTAGGTCAAATTAGCTTATATTGAAAAGATATTTGAGTATTGATATTTAATTTGGGGGTATAAAATTGGTTGTCAATGTGGTTTTGTGTTTTTTTTTTTATCGTGGAAAGGATTGATATTGTGTATACAATTTGGGATCTTTTGGATAGTTACTTGATTTTAGAACTTATGTTTCGATGGTTGTTAGAGATTTAGCTTGTTGATTTATACAAAATGTGGAAGAAAATGATTGAGTATACTATTTTTCTTTCTTAGTTTTGTACAAAATGGCAATTTAGGATTTTTGAAAGAAAATCTGAGTTCTTGGACCTACATTGTTACTAAACAATAAAAGTAGGGAAGATATATGTAATTTTTAAAACCTGAAAGGGAGCTCTTTGTAATTGTGAGAAACCTCAGGAGAGGTTTGTCAAATTATCCCCATATATATACACACTTCTTCTCCATTTACCTCCTTTTACGTTGTCACCCAACAAGATGAGATCCTCTACATTACTTTTCTCTCCATTTATCTCTTTAATTTTTTATATGAAAGTTGATCTTTTCTACAAACTTTATTCAATTCAATTTCAATTTTTGTACATACTTTAAACGGGGTGGAGAAATATAATATAGATGGTTTTGATTTTCAAAATATTGTTATAATGGTGATTATTTAGGTATAATGGACAGAAAATCCTCTCCAATTAATGGAGAGAACTTAACCTATCACCCCACTACTCATCTTTCATTCATAATTTTGTACCTCTCATTTTATTTTATTGTTTTTATATACATTCATCTAATTAACTCTCGAACTTTACTGATATTGTACTCTTAGCCCTCTAATCAACAACTGTATCCTTTGAGTCGATCTCTTAAAAGTGCAGCATATTTTAATCTTCCTTTTCTTTTTCCAAGTCCAATGATCTTAACCATACTATCCTCGGGCTAATGGCCATTGACCAAGAGTTGATCCTCATTTTGCCGTTGCTAAATTTTGGCAAGATTATGCCCCTGGACATCATAGAGTTTAAGACTAGATTTTGAAGGAAATAGAGCAATCATCCATTCATTGAAATCTTTAATTGCAGTTTTAACCAGAGATAGAGGGAAATCATCCCACCATGATGCCGTTTTACACTTCTAATCCAAGGGGAAGTTTTGCTAGAATATGAGTTTGGCATATTTCTTGTCCTACTTACATGGGAGATCTTACATCAATGAAAGTTATCACGGTATCTTCGAACCTTATCTATCAAGTTGCCCAATTCAAAGAAAATACACTTCATTGCTATTTTAATTTTTGAACGATATTGGTAGAGTCACTTTCGAATTCCTACTTCTTTGACCTATTCTAAACCCTTGAGGACAGCAAGAATTTCAGTAAAAGCCTTCATCTTTTGGTCGTGCAACTCCATAATTTCTCAACTCTATTTTAAGATGATTATTGAGAAGCAACTTCATCAGAGGACAAATCCAAAAAAATTCCTTGAAGATTTGCAATTGCAGAACCTTAAACTCTGTTTTAAAAGTTGAGACGTATCACATGGTAGGATTAGTTTGCAAATTCAAGAACAAAATTCAAGAGTTTCTGTGCAACTCGAATATAGATCAATAGCAGTAGTTAAAGAGACAAAGTTCACAGCTTTCCCAACTTATGTCAGAAATCCAAACAAAATAAAGAATAATACAAAAAGAATCCACAAATCAGAGGAGAGCCTTCCAGACGCTGAGAAACAGAACTGTTCTTAAATTCTCAATTAGCTTTTCTGTTGAATTCCTTCACGCGTGCAAAGAGGGCAAACATTCTTCTCCATTAGCCACCTTTTGATGCAGTCGGCATGGTACTCATGCCTGCATTCTAGAGTTCCAATTGTCTCCCCATTCTCGTACTCGCACTGGCAAACTACGCAAATTTCAGGTTCTTGATCAGCAAGTGTTTGATAATTTCTGATTTTCAGGTGCTCTGAGATGGCTGCTTCTGTCAAGCCACTATTTTCACTATTCACGTCTTCTGGGACCGATTGTAGTAGGAACTCAACGATTGGGTCATCAGCAGGAATCAAAACGCTGGCAAGAGTTCCATCCTCATTGACGAACTCCACATCCAATGCACGTACGGGAGTATCATCTTCTGATGCAAAGCTCGAGCTCAATCGCAAGTGAATATTTCGTCCCTGATCAAATTCTTGAAGCTGGTTCCCAAGAGGGTAGTTCTCCTCTGCGTCCAAATCAAGTATGACAGTCTCGTCTTCTGGTGAGAAGCTCAAACGGTAGAGGAAGTCCGGTGTCTGATCAGACTCTCGAAGATGGCTCTGGGGCCATTGGAGGTTCTGCTCTTGATTAAGATAGTAATTGTCGTTCTGATCATAGTACATCGCTTCAGCAGGATGACCGTAGTAGTATTGCAGAGGGCTAGGAAGAAAAAAATCTCGATAATCATAACCTGGCTGAATGAATTGAGGATAAACTGGGAAGCCATAGGCTGATGGAACAGGGTAAAAAGGAGTCTGATCAGGCGGGGGGAAGAAAACACAGTGTCCGTCGTAAATTCCCATGCTTTCCTGAATCCTTTGCGGATAAGTTTGGTAGGGATGATAATGGTGATGAAGAGCAGGTGAATAGAACTGCTGCGGCTGCATCTTTCTTGGAGGGTTTTTTTTAAGAACGATGCTCTGGTATGAATAATGTGAAGCTAACGTTATGAACTCTGATTCTTATATAGGAATTGTAGAATCCACATCTGGTTAGGACATGGGATTTGATTTGGATTTTATCTGGAAAAGTTCGCTTAGGATTAGGAAAACAGGTTTTGGAAACTTTCCTTTTTTTTTTTTCTGATTGATTGCCGTCAAAGAAGGAAGAGAAGGTATAAATTGAACTCAATTTCAATGCTGATTGATAACATAACTAACGGCAAGACTTCTAAACCCAAGGAAAAACTAGGAGCAAAGTACTGAAACAAAATTAATAAAATCCATGCTTTTAATTGAGACTACATGCGCTCGCTGATGAGTTAATACAAATTGATGAATCGTTTTAAAGCAACCGATTATTTCACAAAAGCAAAACCAGCTCCACAAATACCAGACAAATTCTCTTAAAAGTGAAAACATCAGCATGCACACGAAAGCTGAATCCAATCTTAAACAGAACACAACAGGAGAACCACAACCGCGGTATCCCACTGCCTTCTGAAATCCTAGCACAGGCAGGTTCCACCAAGGGCTAAAGACAAAAGTAGACTCCCCCACCATAACTGACAAAGCGTCTTTAGTGCAAGTAGCGAATCTATAAGTCACCTCGGCCTTGACATGTATGGAGGAGCCATCATAAGCAGCTGATGCAGGATCAGCAGGTACGGACTCCAACAACTGTTGGAGTCTTGAGTAGTGTGGTGTTCTTTGCTGCGCTCCTGGGACCAATATAACAAACAACAGAAATGAGAACTTTACTGAAGAACATGCTACAGAACATCAGAGGCTGCAGCATGTACCTGCAGCACCCATGGACCATAAATAAGAGGTTTTTGCAACATCATCAGATGCTGCAATTGACATTGTAAAATGATGACAGAATCACCTAGGACAAAAGAAAAAAGAACAAGAGGTACAAGAAATAGGTTCTTTGTCACCTCTCTTTGACAATAATGCGGCCTACATTATCAGATGAGACCTAGAGGTACATAGTACCGTCAAGCATCATGCATCATGTAGAAACTCCAGTTTCACAAGATGCAAACTATCCACAGATGCCCAGTATCTCTAGCTGGGCTCTCTACATTGACTTGACTTCAGAACTATAAATAGATCTTGAAGCTTGTGCAACGACCAGAATTGTCATCAGAAATTATGAGATCTACCTCTTTCTTGATTTCCAGCAGCATTCCTGATATCCTCCAATGGTCTGTTAGTAGTAAAATCCAAATTGTATGCAGCATTCGTACTGTCATAGACGTTCCCCTGCAATTTCATGAATTTCAATAAGCAACACGTGAGATATTCATTAAAAACTGAAGGAAAAGCAGCAGGTTTCCAAGAAATTTTAATGTTGCCAAAGACTTACCATTGGGAAAATACTAGTGGAGTTTCCTTGTATGTCAGATGCATCGGGCAACACTAAAAGATGATGCAAGTCTGTCGGATGTTGCTCGTAACCAGGAATATTGTCACCATTCCAGGTATGGTTGCTAGTGTTGTATTCAGTGCATAAACTCCCAGCAAACACATGCTCAGATCCACTAGAATTGCTCGGTCTATATAAGCCACCAGTATGCATTTGTTCAGGTCCACAAGATTGAGCAGTGAAATTCAGTGGAGCATCAAGGTCATTAAGTTCTAAAAAGCCACTGTCATCTTGTAGACGCATGTTGTTTGTAGTATAGCCAATTTGATAATTATCAAACAAATTAAGTCCACCTCCATTGAGCTCAGCCAAGTTACTGAGGTCTTCTAGACCACTAAATAGATCACCTCCATCTGAATGAGGGATAGCTTCCGCAGCTCTTCCTTGACCAAGATCACCAAGCTTCTCATAGAGAAACGTAATACCAATCAGCAATTATTAATTACCTATTATATGCATCAAATTAATACAGCATCATCTCTATGTTAGAGCATTTTATATAAAAAATTTGCATTTTACCAATCACTATGCAATTTTGGAAAAAAAATTTACACTAGTAGGAACTTCATGATCCCTACAACAACATCCACAACCCAGAGAGACAGGGATGTCCTGTACACTTTAGTAAACACCAATGAAGTGCTTAAGCAGGAGATGCTCAGTAGTTTACAATGTAGCATTGAGATCATTTGAAAGTTGAATTGAAAAACAAATAAACCTAGAAGACTCTCTACCAATGTCATTACACCAACCACCTGGAATGCACAAAGGTAAGAGGCATAAAGCAAATCAGAAACATAGATGAGTGCTAATCATAGATGGCCACTAGGACTATATCAGCTATAATCTATCACTTGACATAGTCTATGACCCATTCAAATAATGATTAGACTCGAGGATTAAGATAAAAATAGCAACAGACAATTGAAAGCAACATGGATTAAGATGGAGTTTAATGTTTAGGTATAACAGTTATTCAACGGGCAGGATAAAATCTAGCATTTGAAACCTAAACTTAGTAACTTGTGTATTGGACCACCACAACCTTGAACCTCAGATTTGAGTTAAAAGCCAAATCCTAAGAAGCATGCGTAGACTCCAGACCTCTACAACCCGGACGACAAAAGAAGTAATAATGAACATCAATGACCTAAAGGCCAAAAAAAAAAGTAATAATGGACAAGAAAAAAATCCTTAGAATACCAGAATCACAAACTATATCTATACGAGCAGCACAAACGGCTTTCTCAATAGTACAAGATCAGATCTCTTTACTGGATGTAGACTACAATATTACAGTTCTCACAATTATTCTACATAACATTTGTCATTTATCAGCATAAATTGTCTTGGAAAACTACACAAACCAAACTTGGAGGTGACCTTTCTTTCAGTGACACTTTCTCTGCATGATTTAAAACCTAAGCATTCAAACCATTACCGAGAACATTCAGTTACAAGAAAATAAGAATGAGAAAGATATTATGATCCAAATTTTAAACATCCAAAATACATAATTGTAGGCCTATTGTTCTACCCCGCCCCCATCATCGTACATCATGCTTGCTAATAGTTTCTATCCTCCTGAATATTCTAATTTTCATTTATGATTACCCAACTAACATAGAGCCAAAACCTTGAAAACATGGAAAAATAGACAGTAAAAATGAAGAAACCTTTAAAATATATATGAATGGAAAAGGAAGATGTATATCCCCTACAGCTGAGAGTACATTCCCCTTGAAACATTTAAAACCACTTTGAGTTCCTTCTCAAACTTAGTAACACTAAACCATTCAGCCACCTCAACAACTGATCTACTTTTATAGATGGCATTTCAATAAGACACTATAAAGTATATTCTTTCACCAGTCCAGAATAAACAAACTCCAAAAATGATCAAACCAAAAATAAAAAAGGAGTTGTCAACATTTCAACTGTTATTTGCATTACATTTAATCAGGCGAAAGAAAGTGAGTCAAAAGTTATAACTAGCAATTCCACCTACACCAACGCATCCAATCCGACAGAGAAAGAAATAAAGATAACAAAATAAGGAAAAACACACCTATACACAATGAATAATCATACAAATAGCCATAGCTACACATGTCACACCATATCACGCTACATAAACATCAAGAAATCAGATGGTATTACATACCTCAGTATTTCCATTAACAGTGGGGAGCAAAGGGCTATCTTCTGAGAAAGCTGCAAGCAAATGAAGAATATCATCTGGTGGGTCCATGTCCATGCCATTACCAGAATGGCTAGCTGAGGTTAGACCAGCTTCACTTAAAGACCATCCAGATGCATTCCCAGTATCAACCACTCTTGTGACCATTGAACTATTCTGACCATTCGAGAGAACCGTATCTTTGGAAGGCTGAACAAAGGAAGGTCCAGGTTCATTTGGGGGCATTAGGGGTGCATTTCCAAGGTCAACCAAGCTAATGGCAGCAGAAGAGTTATCATTTTCAGGCTGCACAGGTTCTACAGTTGATGGGCCACCAGGTAACAAAGAGTCAACAGGAATCTCTTCATCATCATCCCAGTCCTCTTCTCTAAAAGGCGCTCCATACGATGCACCATTTTTAGGTCCTGGTCCACTCTTGTGGAAGAGTTTGCACAAAACATAAGCATCCTGGAAGACATGGGAGTGAGACATCAACTTGAATCAGATGACAAATGTATACCCGCCAGCTAATAAGATTGATAATAAAAGACGACGAATATCTAATAACAAACATAAAAGGCAGTAAGCAAAAGAGTATATTTTTTAGTTGGGGGGATACTTTCTTAAAGGCTCCACTAGGACTCAGTCATAAACAAAATGAGGTTACATTAGTGATTCAAAATTCAGGTTCAGTCAGTCAATTTGAAATATTTAAACAAACAAGAACCTTAAATTTGAACTTCATTGGCATGCAAAGATGCAAGTTGCAATGATCATTCCATCCCGTAGAAAAGGAAACAAAGAATAACAAAGAGATTAGAGTCAAAAATAATATTTAATATGGCCTCAATCAATATTAATAGAAGAATACAAGAAAGCAGGACAGCTATATTTCTCAAATGAGCCAAAATTTAAAAATTAAGCTAACTTGAGTATAACCATACCTGAGCATACCCCATATCAGCCAAGTTCTTATCTTCAATCCTGTATTCATGTATCACCCAATCAGTTCTTTGCCCGCGCGGAGCACAACCTTGGTGGAACACCAAGGTCTTAACCATTCCAACACTGTTCTTATTATAAGTAACAGGTCTATCCTTTCCTGTGGTCTTCCAGTATCCAGTTTCAGTTGAACGGTTCATTCTTGACCCGCTTGCATACTTCCTCTCTCTTGGGCAGAAGAAATACCACTCAAGATCCTTACTTTTCAAGCAAGATTTATCTGATAAAGAAATTCAAGTTACTGAGAAGTTTTTGTAGTTTATAGAAGGGACAAAGGATGGAAACAAAGAACAAATCTGAGCAGGTCCTGCCACTAACAAGACAGGTCACATGCAAGGATGATGCATATTGTGCTTCCAAAACGATAAATATGATACCATCATATTCAGAAAAGTGGGAGGTGGGTGGGGAGGGAAGGGAAGCAACTAAACAAATTAAAGATTAGAGAAAAATAAGTACCAGGAAGATCCCATGGAGAGAATTTGTAAATGTTGAGCTCTGATATGGCTTCAAAAGGAATTTTCTTTCCCATTACCTTCCGTTTCAGATAGTACATAACCAGCTCAACATCAGTTGGATGAAAGCGAAATCCAGGAGGAAGGGACGTCCTCACCATCAAGAATGACCTCAGAACGTCCCCCAAGAGAATAACTTCTTAACAACAGTAACAATCTTCTCAAAGCTCTGTGTCTGACAAAAAGCAATACCAAACCCTTTCCAAGACAATATTGTACTTCGTCGGAGAAGCAAATAGTTAACCAGATGAAGAAAAAGGAAACTAAAAAGAAAAGCACTAGAAGAAGATATATGTACGCCACAAACCCCAACACAATACCCTCCTCCCTCCTAACTAAGTCAGCCAACGTCAAGTCCAATGCCTAAATAAGATCTTCCGATGGCACCACAGCCTTCCCTGGTTCATGAAACAGAAAGCGCCCCAGAAAAACAAATGATACTTCTTCAAGGAACCAAAAGACATCTGGCGTGCAGTACAAAACCTATATCATCCAAAGAATCAATTAGCTACTTACCAAAATATTGCAACTAAAATAAAACACTCGAGATGTGTTTAACTCCAATTATAGCAAGCTAGATAACATACATCCAAAATCAAAACTTTTTAGGTGAAAATCACCTCACATTAGAAAAAAAAATTTATTCAACATTCATCAAGATGGTGGAAGTTAAAGCCACAAAAAACTTGCACACGTTTGCTACGTATATTACCACAACACTGTAGAAATCCATAGCATTTTAGGCATTAAAAACAATAAAAAAAAAGTTTCATTTTCATCCATCCAATCCATTCAACACATAAACTGAACCCATCCTACGGAACTTTTTTCAAGCCCAAATAAAGTATAGCATGAAAGCACTCAACCCCTAACCACCAAATTTTCCAAAAACACTGGCAAGACCAGATTAGAAAAGGTTACACTGTGCAGATGCTAGTAAACAGCCACAAACAAGATAAACTCTTGCATCAAATAATAAAGCCTCCTAAAACCCATTGAATATGCCAAAAATACTGGAAGCCCAGATAAAAATAAACATCAAAAGCAATCCAGGCCACTCCAAACTTCCGCCGCCAGCCAACGCCGCCGCCACCCCCCCCCCTCCGGTTATCAAGTAATCAAAAAACAAATGAAATTACCAATAGTTTTATCCAACATGAAAAAAAAAATCCACAGCAGCTCTCCTCAAATTATTCATCAAACAGACACTAAAAAGGCAGCGAAACCCTAGAAAACCCCCAATTGATGGCAAATTGAGCATTGAAAACATAAAATTTGAACGCCGACCGATGGTAAATTGAACCGCGAAAACATAAACATCGATAAAATATGAGGACTGCATTAAAAAGAAGGCTATTACTCACCCTAATGGGCGACGGACGGGAGAGGCGAGACGAAGAGAGAAAACGCGTGAAGAGATAGTATGTGGGAAGAAGCAAATGCAAATGAAAGAGAGTGAAATTGTTGGGAAATGAGGGGTTTTTATAGAGACAGAGAAGAAGCTCAGGACTCACTCAGGGGTTCAAGGAAAAGTGTGAAAGGAGGGAAGCTTCAGAAGTACACCTTGAGCTGTGATTGGTTTGGCTTATTTCATTAATCGGAGGGTTTTAACTTTTTTTTTAAGTAAATAAATGAGTATTCACTGTGCAGAGGGGTTATTACTTATTATTCCTATTAGGAAAATGCTCGAATCCCTCTTAGGTATCGTCTAATGATTTAAACTCTTCAGATAATTTGAAAATTAATTACCCTTATTCTATATGTAATAGTAAATTTAATTTCATCGATACGATATCTAGAGAGGATTATAGAATTCTTCAATTAATTATAAGGTAAATGTATATTCGCTAATCAAATGGTTTAAAAAATAAACAATTAATCCACGAGATTGAGAGCGGTCCTGGCCATAGTTATTAAACTCAATCTGAGAGTGGGTTAATGGGTTACTGATTGCACTAAAAGGTGGACGATTGAAACTTTTAATTGATGTAATATATTTAAATATAATATTTCGCAATTCTTAACACAAGACGTATGGTAAAAAGAATAAGTAAATCTTGTTATAATACAAAAATAAATAAAAATTTGTTATAGCATGCTATAACAAAATTTTTATTTTATCTTCAATGATTTATCAAATAATTGTCATTGTGAGAGTTATAACCAAGCAAACTTAATTTTTAATTTATCCAACTTTCAAAATTAAAATTTTATTTTTGTTTAGCTTGTTGTTGTATTTTATGTACACTTTTTTAGGAGTAATTTTTTTGTCTTGAGAATAAATTGAAATAATATACTATGTTTTTATTAATCTGGCATTCTACCTCTTACATTTTATGATATTAGGTGTAATGAGCTCTAAAAAAACACACACCAAGTATCTACTGAAAGAGAGAGCTTTATTTTATATATATATATATATATATATATATATATATATATATATATATATATTGAAAGTAAAAAGAAATAAAACATGTTTAAAATTAATATAAAAAAGCACAAAGGCCACAATTATAACCTACAAGGCTTGTAAAATAATTCCACGAGATCCTTTTTTTTTTTTGTCTGAAATTGTACTTTGTTTGTCACAGACATATTTTTCAAAGAAACTTATACATGTTCCCATGGACATAATCTTTAGAAATAGAAATTAAAATGCAAAGTTGACAAGACTGGAGAGCAATGTATTACACTTTTGGAAATATAAGATCTAAACTCAGAAACTTTTCATGCTTCAATGAGAAATTGGATATCAAATGAGCTTATACCTTTCTTTTACTGTACTTGGTTAAAACTAAGACCTTTGTTCAATTTCTTTAGAAATTTTAGGTTTATACTAACTATGCTGGAACATAAACATTATTGCCTTCTAATTTTTCTTTTTTGCTTCTAATTTTTGGATTTAAACTCTCTATTTATAGCCAAAATATGGAGTGTAATGGCATAAAATTACACAATCTGGAAGAGCCAAAATATGGAATGTGCTAGCTCTTAAAAAAAATCTCTAGAATCTTCCATGCAATTTGGTTGACTTATAGATCAAAAAATCTATTAATAAAGACTTTAACATTTAGGGTGGGTTTAAGTTCACACCTCCATAATCAAAATTCACACCCTTATAGCCAAGCTGTCCAAAAAGCTCATAATATTTATGGGGCTTGGTAGAATCTTTTTCAATAAAAAATTAGACTTTTTTTGGTGAAAATAGATGGTGCTAATTTGGATTTAAAATTTACATCATTATGAATAGTCATAAAATTTTCTGATTTTTTGTTTTCATTCACTTTGATGGCATTTATTTTTTTCCTCTTATTTGGTGAAGAGAATGTTTTTATCCCTTTTTATCACGTCAGAGGAGATGAGAGATTTTTACAAAAAAAAAAATACAAGCGTTAAGAAAATATTTTTATCTTTTTGGCACGTTGCACTTCAAAATTGATTAAAGTATAATTTTGGAAAACACTAGCAGATCAATAATTAGGATGATAGTATCAAACAATTTCAACTAATTAAAATTTGTAATTGATTCTTTAAACATATCTTGTTTTATGAAAGACATTTTCTTTTATTGGAAAAAGTTTCTATCAAATTCCTATTGAGGGGTACTGTGAATTTAATGCTAGACGTGTGAATTTAGACTGAGGGGTATGGATTTAGCCTTACCCTAATAAATAAGGTGATCAAATAGTCTATTGTTAATTACTTTAATTTATCCACGTCAATTTGAATGAACAGTACTGCACCTTTTATTCTGGAGGGAATTTCTGTTGAAGTTTTGGAGGGTTTGTTTGTGAAGTCTCAGGGAACATTACCTAATCTTCAGTACTCTGGAAGGAAACCATTTAAGTCATTTTTTGTTACGTCCACAATATCCAAGGCTTGGTCTTCTTCTTAGCTTTTCTTCAAACTATTCAAAATTTTTGAATTCCTCCTATTTGACAGTGTAAAACAAATCCAGGGCAACTCTTTTGAGTTCGCAAAGTATGGCATCTCAGGCTCTTTGGAAGCCATATTTTTTCACTTCTGTAGCTCCTTCACTTGCTAGAGGTAGTTTGGAGAAGGCAAACTTCACTTGTTCCTTCCATGATGGTCTTATATCCTTCTAGCTCCTTCTTTCTCTTCTGCTAATGGCGATTTCTTGGAGGTTTTCTATTGGTACCATTCTTCTTGGTCTTAGGCATATTATGAGAACTTGTCTATTGGGGTCAAGAGGATGTAGACTCCACCTTCTCATTTTCGCATGAAAATTTCATTTTTGCTGCATATGATAGTCTTGCCTTCTTACTTGGTTTTATCTGCATTTTCTGTTCCTGGAAAGTTCTCCTAGCTGAGGCATTGTGATCGTCGTTGAGAGTGATTACATAGGAGTTCCTTTAGGCTGCTTCTTGCATAATCTTCCAATCTCCTATAGTAACTAAATTACTCAATTCTATGCTAACAAGCGCTCTTAACTCAATATGAGCCATGTTCGTTTCTATGTTTTTTTGTAGTCACCATATTAATTTACTTTTACTGTAAATGTTTGGATTAATTTTATATACGCTGTCAATGTATATACTATCACTATTATATACATGACATATATGCAAATTTTGAATTTGAAATCCAAAATTATTTGAATTTTTTTAACTGCAGGATACAAAATTTGAAGTCCTGCCTGCAGTCTAAAGAGGGGTTTTAAATTCCTTTTGGTGGCCAACTGACCTAAAACAAGTTGGTTAAATTCTTAGTTTCCTTGATTACCATAACTTCAAAATAGCTACTAAGGTATCAATAATATACTATGCACATAAGAAATCAAAGATAAAGGAAAGAAAATTCAACCATAATATAAATTGAAGAAATTTAGGGCACAATTTTGAATTCCTTGCATTGATAGTAAATAGAATGATACAGAATCTAATCTTCACATTTAGCTTTATGCTTTGTCTTTATTATTAAAATATTTTATCTCTAATTATCATCCATTCATTTTCAGTATGCTTATTAATATAATATTATTTTGCAATTGTGCCTCACGTTGGTTCACCTCTGCCTCCTAGTGGCGGAGTCACATTCAAGTGCGGGCAACCTTAAAGAATTTTTAAAATTGGCTTGAAAAATTATAAATTTTCAATCTTGTCCTATAATTGCACCTCCTAAAATTTCTAAAATTTCCTATGCTCCTTTACTTTGCCCCCATAAGTTCTTGAAGTCTACAATTATCACTTAGTTTATATATGATGACATATTTGAAATGAAGACAGGTACCAGTTGAAAATTTAGGAAAAAAAAAAGAAGAGAATTTCAAAACTTTTGGTACACAAAAATAAATGTAAAAAAATTTGTTGTCTGCTGCACAAAGAAAAATATCATCTAGTTGTTATTGTTGAAAAACACTAAATAATTTTAACCAAATTCACACCATTATCATACTAGCTATTAATGTTTTTCAACAAAAAATTTTGTCTTAATCGTGGTAATTACCTCTCTAGCCTTGGATTCTAACTCCATCACTGCTCTCTCCCAAACTAAAATCTTAGGTCCCTCATTGACCTTCATTGAGTTCAAGTACGAGATGTAAAAAGTGGCAGGACGTTGCCCTCAAAGGGAAGTTTCAATGCTTACGTTAATATATGTATACAAAGAAAATACTAAAGAGATAAGCTCTTAAAATGAAGAAAATACTTGAATAAAAATGGAATGAATGAAAAGAAAATGAAAAATCGACCTTTATAATATAGAGAATCGCAGACGGGCTTCATGGCCTTTTTACTTGTGAGGCTTGACACTTTTTTGGATCCGAATAGGACTATCAATAGGGTCCGGGCAATCCGAACTCGGCCCATTTCGCTCGAAAAAAAAAGTGCACTTAACTTAATTTTTATTGGGTCGGACAGAGATTGGATCTAAATATTAGGTCCAAACTAAATGTGAATCAAGGTGGACTATACTAGGATCAGACCCGATTAATATTCGGCCCATATATGAGTACAATTATATTCGTAAAATATATATAATAATATCTATAATTTATAAATACTAGAAGTTAAGGCACACCCAATGTGTGTGTTATTAATAAAAGATACTAAAAATTATTAGCATTATTTTTTTGTTGAAAAAATAGTAATTGAAAATAGTTAAACTGTTGTAGTTTGAAAATGGTAGTTTTTTAATAGGTAAGTGGTGGTTAATTCAGTAGATATGGAGTGATTTTAGGGATATGAGTAGTTAAAATAATGTAATTCTTTCTAGAAGTAAGGTAGATTAGTCAATACATTAAATGACATAATTTGTTTACACCAAACCCGTCATCCCACTTTATATATACTAAGAGATACACATTACGACATAAAATGTTGATATTTTATATATAAATTTATAATTATAATATATATTATAATTATGTGTGTATATATATATTATAATTATGTATTTAATAATGAGTTTGGGCGAATTCCAATTTAAAGTCGAAACTCATATAATGGTGTAAATTGAGATTAAATCTTTTA